AAATATGTATAGGTGTAAAACATCACCATTCTGATTTTACAGCACTTTGAATCCCCTTCACAGTCAGTCTGTATTGATATAAATGACCATACAAAGTATACCATGACGGAGAAATAGGATCAGTATAACTGCCAGGTTTTTTATAAAGTCTCTCGTTTAGCGATGTGATCAACCGATCAACCTTTTCTCCCTCAGGCTGAGAAGCTTTGATTCTCTCTCTGATTACTGTCTTTCAAAATCCCTCAGATGTATCCATTTCTAACAAGAAATAACTAGCAGGTGAAAGATCCAGTTAAATAAAGAATCTGAAGTGCACTCTTACACTTCAATCTGAAATATGCATTATTAATCACAAAAATGATTGTTGCATAATCAGTAAAGCTGGAAACACACAAGCTGCACGGCCTTGTCCTCTGAACAAGTTTTATTAATATTCTGCTTTAACAAACATTGTAGTATGAAGGCATCATTTCCTTAAGTTTTCAAATGTATGGCACAGACAAAAGGAGAAAAGAACAGATCCATAAGCAAATTCAGCATTTAAATGGCAGAATAACAAAAAGAGGCATGTATTAACCTATTTAGCCACTAGCATATATCAGAAGACATTTTGCAAGCAACAGACTACATTTATTTGCATTTAAGTAAAAACATATTTTTGATCAAGAAAAATTACATTTTTCTGACTTTCCTGTATATCACAAATGTTAGGGTAAGGCAAATCCTTGATGATTCATATGATAAAAACCCTATTTCCCAAGAAAATATATCCAACATATTCTGCTAACTTCGTAATTTTAAAAGCAAAGCAGACATGCACTGCATATAGAGAAATGTCTTTTTTTTAATCAAGTGCATAAAGCAGAACAGTGTTAATTCACAAAGAGGCTTTTCAGTGCTTCATAGAAAGATTTACAATTAGCTGCAGTGAATATGTGACCCAATATTACAGACAGAGTCTCAGACGTCTCCTTTGTAAGCTTCTATGAAAGGAAACTTGTCCATCATCAAAGCAGTCACTCACTGGAGGAACAATAGATTGTTGCTCCTAACTCTAGAATGAGCACTTTTAAAAATTGGAACTATTACATTAAAAGCATATTTTGATGCTATGTATGCAAACACCACTAATGTAGGGCTTCTATTCTCTACCTGCCACACGCTGTGATAAAATTTGAGTTCTTAAAATCTATGCTATGGTGCAATTACTCCATTTCTGATATTAATTCTTTGCAGAGACTACTTCCCTGTACTTCTGTAGCTCTAGCAAAATCAATAGTACCGCATTCAGGGTGCACTGGTCCAGCAGTATTTAAAGAAGTTGAAGAACTCACATTGCCCAAATGAACAAAAATCATTTATTTATTTATTAAAAAACGCTAAACCAATTCTACCCTAGAGTCACATGAAGGAAGGAAGGAAGAAGGGAAGAAAGGAAAAGAGAGAGGGAGGGAGGGAGGAAAACAAAGCCACAGAGTCATGTCTGAAAATTGGACTGTTAAGATTTAATCAACTCATACATTTTCTTATTCTACACTACCTGCCTTGGCTTCACACTTTGCTGCAGCATCCTCAGGCAAATCTTCTACCACTTCAAAGAATTGTTGCTGCCAGCAGACCAAGGTTAAGCAAGAATGGCAATGAAATTAGTCACGGGTTAGAACAGACGCTAGTGAAGTATTTTTGTCGTTAATTATTTTTAATATCAGTCAGTCTTCACAAGAAGCATGAGGATTCTCTTCTCGTTTTTTAAATATTTTAATGCTGCCCTCCATTCAGTCTCTTGTCAATCTTCTTTCTCTGCTCCTTGATGAAACTAAAATTTGCTTGTCAGAGGGGTAGAGGATATACTGTGGTTCTTAAACAGTGTACGTGGGAGAGTGTGATACCAGCATGCATGTTCAGCCTAAGCCTTGAACATATAGGGCCTGATCCTCAGCTCAACTGATGACAAATGTATACCAGCTGGGGTTCGGGTCCCTTCTGTATTCTAGAGGAATTTGAAAAGCATAAAGCGTTTGATTTTCCAAACACATTTTCTGCTTTATGAAGGAGTTGCCCTACCTCTGCTAGGCAAAGGCCTTCAATCTCTCTCTTTTTAAAGGGAATACACAAAAGGAGAATTAATGCTAGTTACCTAATGAATTTATTCTCTCACCTCCAAGCCACTAATTCTTCCTTTATGAAAGGCTGTTTGAAGAAAAAACATCTGATATGGAAATGTGCTGTATGAAATGTGCTGTATGCGGCTGATACCCAGCCTCAAGTCCTTTGCTTATCGAATTTTAATCAACCAGAAACAACAAATGAAGAGACAGCAGGAAAATGACATATAGCAAGAGATACCTTCTGTCAAGCTAACAGAGACAGGAGAGTCAAGAGGCACAGGAGCTTCAAAGGGAATGAGAAGTCCAACATAGCAAGTATAGTACGACCCTGGTGATGTATTAAAATGAAGTAGCTGGATGCATTGCATCTGAGCTCTTGCTCCTTTCAAAACTGATCAACACTCATGTTAAACATCCATTAGTCTTCAAACAGAAATCTTTTATAAATGAGCCCTTCCCCATCTTCCCTAATGCTATTGTCATGAAGGGTTCAAGACACTATAGGAAGTGACAGTCAACAATATCCCCCTGATCTTCAAGGAGCTTTATAGCTCCTGTGTGAGAAATACAAAAGAACAGTTTGCTTGAAGATGCTAGGCAGCATTGCCAGAGGCCATGCTCATATGGACAAGCCTGGGGCTCCTGTTTTACTCTCAAATCCTTGCTTGTCCTGTCACCATTTCCAATCAGCCTGCACATGCCAGCAGCAATCAAACTGTATAGCTGCTAGTGCATGCATTTAGGGGCATAGTCTGCTCACAGCTACATCTAGGTAAGTCCATTATCGCTAATAATCAAAACAGGGCTGACTCCTTCCAGTCTTCATTTTTTGCAAGCCAATAAATAATTATTTCAGTGTTTGTGCATATTCAAGAAAAAAAGAACAGAACCCAGACTATTTTTTTCAATGGCTAATTGTCTTTAAAAGCAGCTGAAATGTAGTCTGTAGAACATCAAACCCTGGACCCATGCTGTGAGCTCCCTCAGTGTTGTGTACCGTGTATCAATTTAATTTACAGTACAGTTGAAAAGTGTACATTAAAACCCCCACTTTTATTTGAACGCAGCACTTGCTGGCAGAACAAATGACATATGGTGAAACATTCTTAACCAAATAACTGTTAATTGCATTTTTTTAAAACCATGCATATGCAGAAGAAAATATAATGAGGGCTGACACAAGGAACAGTGAAGTTGTTAAAGCCATGAGCCATATTTAAAGATAAGCTGGATGCTTAATACCTGTTATCCTCCATTACCCACAAGTTCAACAAAACATTAACTGCCCACAGGTACTTTAATACTTATCTGAAATACTAATTTTTAGGCATGCAGCCTCAATTCGCAGAGGTCAGAATATAATCTATTTTATAAACTACACTAGGTCATGTGGTAGCAGTTTCAATCACAGTCTATACCACCAGCTGATCCACTGCAAAGTAGATGCTAATCATATTTTAGATTTAAAGAGATCTAGAGTGGGCAAAAGACATTTCTATTCAGTGAACAAAGGAGCAACGAGGTCCCAAAACATCAAGCCTGTACAGTTAAAGCACGAGTCTGAGTCTATCATGCACTAAAAAGATCCTGTTAGCTTTTTTCTTAGCTCAAAGGTGGCAGTAATCAGGGTCTCCCAAACTCTAAATATTTTGCATTGGCACATCCAGTCAGAAGTTCCTACTGACAGTCCTGGAAGTGGCAGGAGGTGGCAGCCTGCAGTACCTTCGCTCTTTTGGGTAGGCTGGAACAGTTGCTCCTTTAAAGTCCTAAGATCAGCTGTTCTCTGTGGATTATAACATTTCTTTGCAATGTTCATGCTCTCAAAACAAATCCCCCAAACATATCCCAGAGAATAGCAGGTTGGGGGGGGGGGGGGGGGGAGGGGGAGTCCCATTCCCATAGATCACCCTGAATAATGCACCATAAGTGGGAAACGAGTCAGGAGGCTAACAATAAGGGGGTGGGGGTGGAAACTAGCTCTGATCTGGTCTGCTGGTTCAAAAGAAGTTGCTATAATTGCAGAGACAATGCAAAAAATGTTAGAACTGGGACACCACAACTAAAGTTGGGAAGCTCCGTTTCTTTTAAACAGGTTTACAGAACAAAATGCAACCAAGAATTAAGAGGAAACAAAGCAAAGATTCATTTTCCCTGACCTCCCTCCCCCTCCCATCCATCCCACTGAGCACATTTTTGGTGCTCTTTCCGCTGATAGTCAGAATGATGCCATACGATGCCAATGACTGCCGGTCGAGTTTCACCCCATTGTTCTCTTCTCCTATCGTTCCTGTGTGACAGGAGAAAAAACACATGGCTAATTAAATACAAACCCAAAATCTTCATAGACCCAAATGTCTACTTTTGTCCTTTTAAGCACAGTTGTCTAACATGCTGGCTTCCAAAAACTACACAGAACATAGGCATCACATAACCTCTGGGAAATAAGATGTCATGATTTCTATAGTGTCTCCAATATGGAGAGCTCTTCGGAGTGGTGTAGCCAGTCAGGAGTCTTCATGCTAAGAAAACCTTCACAAGATTAATGCTGGTTTCTGCCCCATGAACTAACTACTAAATTAGTCCACATGTCTCTCCATACTTGTAAATATTGTGTGTCACATTTTGTGCCTAGGCTATTAGATAAGAAGAGCTCTGGTCCAATCCTGTTCAGCAGTTATTCTTGCTCATCTTTCAAATCTGTGCCATGACACTACTATGGGAATGATGGCCCTTTCTGCCCTTCCATAAGTATTTCACAACAAAGTTAAAGATTGCAATTTACGTCCACTACACTGAGTACACACAGGTAAAGACCACAACATTTCTGTTCTTCAGCTTGCAATGCCCATGAGCCATGAGCACACTTCTCCTCCTCCTCTGTTACAGTGAGTCTGCCTGCGATTCCCAGAGGCACAACTGACTGTTCACACAGGGGCTTACTGTTTTCTCCTTGAAGCCAGGACTTGTCCCCTTCTCCTGCCCTTAGATTCATAGTCCACAGGGCTGCAAATATAACAGCTGGTTTGTGTACACTGAAAAATACCATGGCTTTTCTACACAAGGAACAAACTGTCTTTTCCCTTTGCAAACACCACTTCACGGATCCCCTGTGCTAATGCCGTGTAGGTATTTGCTAACCTGGCTCCTCAAATGGACATAAAATAAAGGCACTAACATAAATAAAGGCAATAACAAAATGGATGGGAGGACACCAACCAACCACAGGAGCCCTGAGGCTGTAGTCTCAGCTGTATTTTAACTCACAGTTGTGATGGATGCTACAGATTATCATTTCTTTCTTCACCACAATGCTGAGTAACAAGCCTTCAGTTTCTTGATACCAACAGCAGGTTTGCTGGGATTTTTAGTACACATTTTGGTGACCAGTCCTTGGAAAAATCTGAAAATAATACCCGGCAACTCTGCCAGAGGTATCTGCTTGGCTCTAAATGACCCAAGAAAGGATCATACCTTTGAAATTTAGCAAATTGATCAATCTGGTTTTGTATGGACCCTCTGCTTGTAATTAAAGCAAAGAGGCAGAATAGTCTAGAGGCTTGCGCAAAGTTGGGAGCAGCTGAGTCCTTAGTTCTAATCCTGGATCTTCCATTAAAATATTCTGTAGCACTGGTTCTCAACCAGGGGTCTGTGGTCCCCTGGGAGACTGTGAGCAGGTTTCAGTGGGTCTGCCTGGCCCCATGCGGGGAAGAGCCACCTTGGCCCCCCAGGGCTAAGGTGAGTGCCGAGGAAGGGGCAGGGGTGAGCCCACCCCACCTGTCCCGCTTGTGGGTGGCACTGAGGACCGGACTCTGCACTGCTGCTGCTCAGGTGAATAGGGCCCTGGGGCTCCCCACTGCTAAGCCATACCCACCACACCAGGGGCTGTGCAGGCAGGGCTGGGGAGCTGGGCCATGGTGTTCCTACAGCATGCTGGGAGTGGCGGGGGGGGGGCTTCAGGAAGAAAGAGGTTGAGAAACCATGCTCTGTAGCACTAGGCAAGCCACTCTGGCTCTCTGACCAGCATTTCCCCTTTGTGGAAAGGAGGTAATACTGCCATGGTTCACCTTGTAAATGAGAGGATTAATTAGCTAGAAGCAGGGCTAAGTACTACATCTTTTTATTATCATCATCATCACCATCTCACCTACCTCAAATACAATTAGGTGACATCACCCCAAATATATTGAGGTGTATATGTATTTTGTGAGAAATCATGGTGTGAAAGACTGAAACATCTTGCAGATTGGGTGAAAGCTGTTATGACTGTCAAATATACGTATTTTTAAATCAATGGTGGTATTAACCTTTCGATCAATTGTTTAATGACAAGCATTCTACCCTTTTAATGCAATGCATAATCAGAAACTAATAAATGGTGAGAAAAAGGAAGACGTACATAAGTAATATTTTGATTTTTGAGGTGCTTTATTTTTTGCTTCAGTAGTTTTTAATGGGGATCCTATCAGCCATATTTCTCTCTCTCCAGCAGTATGGCAGTGTATTGTCAAGATACTGACAAGGACAAAGGGGTACACACAGACATAAGACCTTGTTTTTTAAATCTTGGTGACACAGCTGCCACTGTTGTAAAGCTTCTATATTCGGTCTTGAGCTACATGAAATCCCATTACAAGCATAAATAACCCATCTTGCTGTATATGATATTGGCATCTTATAACAGTCCTACACAGAGGGAGAGGTGTGCATTAATGCTTCAGAACTTCACAACTTTGTTAGGGATCAAAATTGCTTTGTGTAATTGGGGTGTGCAACGGAATTTGGTATCTCCTGCAGCTTACTCATTTTTATCTATGCGTCAGGCTGCTTATGTCTACAAGCCTAACTATTCTCTCCCATTTCGGCTGCAATAACAATCATCACGTATGTACTTCTGCAATGGCACTATCACTCAGTATATAAAGCAGTAAAGCTCAAAAAGGCAGCTCACTGACTTCAGCCTTGTTTTTACAGCAGTCTAGTTAGAAGTGACTTCAGGCATTGTAGAGCCAAGGGCAATAAAACCCTCCTGACACAAACCTGTTGTTCCCAGAATATAGATCTCAGAGAACTGAACTAAATTCCAACCAGTATAAATTGCTTGTCATTTTCCTAAGCAATGACAAAAAATGTTCACTCAGTTACTCTTCCATTACTTATATTGCTGCTGTCTAGGGTTTTGATCATATGAGACTGTGCACTGTCTAAATCAGTTACAGTTGTAGCATGGTATCATAACATTTATTTGACAATTAAAGTCCAATAGATAGCTTTATGCTTTGTGGACTGTAAGTCATGTTAGCTGAGAAAAATAATAAACGTATCTTTTTCCTTCTAGTCTATGTTTCTTTTTCCGGTTTTCTATATTCTAATGATGGTTGTGACACCTTTCTTTCTTTCCCCCCTCCCCCAGATGGACCCAGTATGGATATGAATTCTTGAAGTGAAAACACTTGTCATTAGATACTTACCTATTAGTTAATCTTCTGGCTGGCTTTCTGTAGATTCATTTATACTTTCAACCTGGCTATTCATTTCAGCTGAAAATAAAACAATAAGGCTGTCAAACTTCAGTCAAAATTTACCATGACAAGTGAGAGATGCTTCTAACCTACAAGAACAGCATTCAGTCTTTACACAAAAACACTCAATAGTGTAAGTCTGTGAAGATGTATCTTATATGAGACCACTCTAATTTACAATAATAATTAAACCATTTTGAACAGATCGGTAACATGATACATTTCAAAACTACTAAAGATACCAGCTTTGCATCAAGATTCCTCCAGACTTTGGGACTAGCTCTGAATTTCCAAAATCTCCATAGCAGACCAAACTGAAACCTTGGATTCAAGCACCTTTAAGCTTTTAATAAAATTTGGGTCTGGATCTTGATGAGAAAATTGGAGCCATTTGTGGACTGTCTCTATATATTTAGGTGCTAAAAGCAATCCTAGCGCATATGGTACAGGAGATGAGTACATGAGATATGAGCTGCACCTGAATACAGTGGAACGATTTCAGGATAGACTTTCTATGCTGTTTTTTTTAACTGCCTTATTTTTATGGGTCTCAAATGGGATTCACTTTTTGAAGCTGATGGTACCCCTAATTGTTTGGTATGGGTACATTTTTGTAAATTGATCATTGCCTTTTGCAAGCAGCTCTCTGGAAAAGCGTGAGACCTGCTTGAAAATTTTGAAAGAGGGGAGTGGGGAAGAGTGTAGCTGAAAGTGCAACTGCTTGGACCCAAGCAGCATGAATATCCTTCTGAATCAACATCATGTCAATACACCTTTTAGGATTTTGATGAATTATTTCATCACATATATTCAGAGCAGACATGTTAATTGCTCATTTGATGTATACCATGAATGTGTCTGAAGAAGAATATTCAGCCCAGATTATGGAGCTATACTGCAAAAATGTGTTATCTATGTTTTGGGTATTATTTTTATAAGTATTTGAATAGCAAATATGAAATGCTTAATTAAGGAAAGGGATCTTTGTGCACAGGCATTAGCAGTGTTTTAAAACCTCAGTGTCAGCCAACTTAATTTGGTTGTTAACAAAGGACCTGGTTCATATTTCAGACTGCTTACAAATTGAATTTGTGAATGAATAGAAGCTGAGACCTGTCAGAGTGAAGCATCAAAAACAAGTAATGCCTTTTAAGTTACAAGCAGCCAATCATATGCATGCAATGCACAGTTATACCCAGGTGGCCATTTATGGAACATCAATAAATGCAGGCTCTGAAGATACTTCTAGCCAACCCTCCCTAAGACAAACTGAAATTTATAATAAATATTCCAGGTTATAGCACAGGGTGATCTGGGAGGCCCACAGGGCTACATCTGGGTCATGGAATAACTACCCATTGGTGGGTGGAGGAAATCCAACCCATGGAGATAGGCGGTCCTGAAATTGGGTAAATATTACTGCCAGGAAGAAATCTTAAATTCCCTCAACAGAGGACACAGCACAAATACTGATTCCATGGAAAATCCTGAGAAGAGCTAAGAACTTGCCTGTCTTGTTGAAGTCCCTTACGGGTGTTAGTACATCCTGCTCTGGTAGGTGGGAGTTTGGGATAATGTTCAACTCCCTTGAATTTAATAGGAATTTTGTGAAATTATTCAGTGGTTTCAAGGTTTCACCCCAGTTGGGAGGCCTTTTAAAACCAGCTCTTTAGAAGTGTTATCAAAGAGGTAGGTTAAGAGCCTTGTAACACCTACCAGAAGTACCAAACTGTAAACCCAAGGCTCAGCATCTCTGGGACACATGAGCATTTGAGTGAAGCTCAACATATCTTGAACCACCTACTCCCTAGTCAGGAATGGCATTTTTTTATTAATATAGATGAAATACAGATCTCTTCTGGATTTCTCTCTATATATTTATTTCAAAATTGGTCCTTTATATTTGTACAGTTCTTTATCATTCCTCTGACTTTTCTCCTTTTGGCTGTGGGCTCTTTTGTGGCTCTCAACATCTCTAAAGAAAAATTTAGCCCTACAAGTGAATGTACAACAAGAAGAAGAGAGAAAAAACTATAGGGTAACTAAACATATATAGAGAGTATGTTACTAATGGCACGGCAACCTCCATAGGGTGCATCCTTAACAGAAGGTGAAATTAGTTACTGAAGGCCAGCCAGCCAGAATCACAGCTTGCAACATAAACATGAAAGGCAGATATAAGGGGAGAAAGGGATTTTTAATTTTATTCTGAAAGATTGTCTGTTGTAGTCAGAAGACAGGGTAGGGTGGCACCTCAGTGCCTAACTCATTCAGAAAGGTACAGCTTTTGTAGGCTATTCTAAAAATGTTATAAATGAACATGCAGAGAACAGGGGTACTCAAAGGAAAGAAATAAAGTCATTTAAATACAAAAGATAGGGAAAAGGAAAGGGCAGTACTGAGAGAGGTGAAATGAAAGAAAGGTATTGATATCTCGATTCCAACGAGAGCAGGATCAGGCTATTATTCTCCAGCACAGTTAGTTTCACCAGACCTTTCCTAATCAATGTTGAATTCTTTTCATATACAGATTTTTTTTATATAACACATTTGTATGCATTCCCAGGTTATTGTGGAAAGAATGATATTCACTTTGGGTTAGAGTTAAAATTTTGCCGTGATGAAATATGCATTCCTTTTTACATGATAGTTATTTGTTAAAGTTTACTATATGGAAAGAATAAGATTTGTGATGTCCTTTACAACTCACTTCCTTGCTTTTATAATTTTATAGGTTTTTTTGTAAGTGATGTGACAGCTAAGTATGCCGTTTTTACTTGGAAGCACTAACTATTTTTCAAACAAGGTTCTTGGCTCTGGAATTTCCTAAAGTATCTTTTAATCTTCCCCCCCACCTCCCTGCCCCCTTTCTATTGTGGCAATAATATTGTGCAGTCTTCTAAAAAACTGAAATAAAAGGAATGAATGAATTTATTTTTAAAGAAGTGAACAGAGTGACAAAGCTAATAATGGCTGGGAACCAACATCCATATTCTCCTTGTATGCTTTGAAACTTTGCTGGAAAAAAATCTGCCAGCAGAAAAGCAGACTGAGAAGTAGATTACCTGAGGTGTATTCCAGAATCATTAAAACTACTAATCAGTGAGAATGTGCTGGATACAAGCAATGCATCACCCCAGGTTCTTTGCACTGGTTGCTGACAGATTTTGCAACAGTAGGATATAGCTCTCTATATACATACACAAACACAGACAAGGTTTCCCTCTGCTTCTGTCAGCTTTAATGAAGGAAAATCATGCCCAGATTTCAAATAATGTTAATTTATTAAATATATTAGTATTGCCATCCTTGAAAACTGCCCACAAGATGAGCCAATATTTAAATAGATCTAATCCATCTGTTTAAACTATCTGCATTTATAAAGCTCTTAGCACTGTGGCCTCTTACAGAAAATTAAACAAAAACAAGAGAGTCAGGCTGCCAAGGGGTAGCTAGTAAAATTTTCTTAGATTGTCCATTGGGAAGTAATAAGCCCTCCTGGGGCTAGTGGAATGGGGCCGAGACACTTTACAGGATAATTAAAAGGAGCCATTTCTAATCTTAAATAGCACTTGATTTATCCAAACTTAAAAAAAATCAATGAGACTTAATCCTTAAAACAGCAAAAGGTTTGGATGTCTTTTAAGTTAATTGTGTCTGTATTTGGGAGCACCTGGAACAAATTATAGTTATGGAGAAGCAACCATTTCTCCCAGTATCATAATTCTTGTCTACAGCATTTGGATGTGTGCAGAAATGCTTTGCTCTTCTCTCTCCTGCAGACCTCATGAAGTACACAGGAGCAGAACAACTTCGAAGATAAGAGTTTAAACAAAGGTTCATGCTGGGCTCACGTACATCTTCAGTCTACCTTTCAATAGATAGCATATGGCTAAATCAGTTGTTTTCTGATACAGCATGTAACACACTGGCTACGTGATCATACTTCACTCCAGTGGTAAATGCCAGGAAAAGATGCTACAGGGGTATATGTTCTTTTTCCAGAAGATGTTCTTTTTCCAGATCTTGGTTTTCCTTTCCTTTTTGAAAATAAACCAAAAGCCTGACAATCAAAGCACTTACCATCACTGCGTGTTTTTCTTTTTTGTTCCATAGGTCCAGGGTTGTGGCATCGCAGTTACTATTTAAATAATAGCAGTTTCTTGTACCTTTTTTTTTGTTGTTCCTGAACACTTGCTCCTTGTACCATCTGATATCAAAATCAGATAGTGTTTCAAATGTTGTGGTGGGATGCGTTGTCATGGGTGGAGAGAAGGGCACAAAGCAGCATTTGGGTATAAACCAATGTTGCCAAATGAAGCACATCAGCGCCGAGATTTATCCCAACACAGCCGATCCACTTCAATGGGCTACACGGACCTCGCCCACTGTCCCACAGGGTTAGGCCCGTGTTGCTCCCAGGAGCTGCTGGGGCCCAATCTTGCAAGACAACACTAAAGGTACGTTTCTGTAAGCAGGGGATGCTGCCTGCCCAGGGAGGCTGGAGAGTGTGCGCATCTCTGGGCTGCCTGTACTCTCTCACCTTAAAGATGTCTGCTGAAAAACAGTGACACAAACTCATACTGCTTATGTCACGTCCACAAATTTTTATGATGTGACAAGGGGCATGGATGTCTTTTTGCTTGGCTTTTCTGACACCATAAAAATGTTTATGGTGGCACAAAGGCAGCATCTATTTCCAGCCTTATATACCTTGCAACCTTTTTTTTTTAACCCTTCCTGAAAAGGAATAATTTTTAATCGTTGAATGTCAAGCAGTACATACTGGGCATATCTACACCTGCATTCACCATGCAATAAATGTTTTTTAAGCCAGCATCTATACGTTCAGCCGTTAAAGCACTGACTTGGGCCTAAAGCAAGGCATCTACATGTGCACTACTGCGCAGTAACTAATTGGGTATAAATTTGATACCTGCATGATGTAGGTATCAAATGTATGCCCAAGTTGGTGTAGGCTGCCATATTTACTGTGCAGTATGGGTGTGCATGTGTAGATGCGCGCCCATACTGCACAGTAATTTTTGGTTACTGTGCAGTAATTTAAATTACTGTGCAGTAAATGTGCATGTGTAAATGCGCCCACTGTGTGTATTAAATAAATGTGTGTGGGGGAGCAGGGAATCCAAATCAGTCTTAACTATAGAGAGGCTACCAAAATAAACTGTGACTAGTGGTCAGTGCCTTACAACTCCAAAAATGCCGCCACTACATGTGTAGGAGTCAAATTAGCTGTCAGCCAGAAAAGAACCATTACATATTTTTATTAAGCTACAAAAGCCAGTCCAGAATAATACCCTGATAGCCATCTATAGGGCTTGTCTCTAAAATGTTCTGAGCACAAGGACTTTGATTTAACACTAAGCTCACTTAGCTACGCATTTGAACTCAGTGCTACCACTCTCAGGATCTGGGTCCTGGGGTTAGCAGCTTGCAGGACCAAACCCAGGTCTGTTAGCTAAAAGACTGTGCACGTTTATAGGACTATCTGCGGTCTTGCCACTAGCAGGCAACAGGAAGTCAAAGGAATAAGTGTGGGTCGCATTAACATTTTTTGTGGCATTTCTCAAATGTTAACTTATTGAAAGGATTCACCTAGGGCAAAAATCTATTCTTTAATACTTGACTAACTTAACCTGACAGTGCTTGGATTTAAAATGGGTATCTCCATTAGCCAGCATGATTGACTTGCATGGAGAGTCAGTAAAATGAAGATCCATACCATCATTACTGGAGATGTTTTCTGTATCACATGGATTTTCAGCTTTCACAGGCTCTGCAGACGACTTCCCTTTCCCTGGTGCTGCTCCTTTAAAAAAGACAAAGAGGAGAAAAACAACACACCCAATATGTGATTAATATAGCATTCTTAGATCTAGTGTGCCCCTTTTTTCCTTTTCCTCTGGTATGTTCTTATATTTAAAGACTCTGATGTTAGAGTGGTAGCCATGCAAGAAAGGGCAGAGGAGATAGGAGGAGGAACCTGCCTTTAAAAAATTGCCTGAATGTCTATAGTGATCTGTGTTCTTTTGTAAGCGGGAATGTTAAAAGCACATTGTAATGTGTACATTTGCCTCCCTGCCATTCTTTTCTCATCATTTTTGAAGAATCCCTTCTGCTCATAAAATGCAGTGTAGGCTGGGGACCTAATCACACTTCTAATGTTTTGCTATCTAGTGGAGTAAAATGGATACAGTAAGAGTTCAGATATATGGAGCAGTCAGACACAACCTAGAATCTGAATGCAGGAAAATGTATTTTGTTGCTGGAACTCAACGTTTTTATCTTGTCTGCCTCAGGCTTGTCTGGAAGCTTAAATTCAATCTCCTAGCAATAGTATAAATGGGAAACACAGGAGAACTGCTTGCGCTATTCCATATATGGCTCTCTTAACATTCTTCCATTCAGGGCTGTTGAGAGGCCAATTTTTAGTTAATTTCCATTACGGCACTTCTGTACTTTTGTGGCCACTATAAAGCCTGTCACACCTACCCTGTGGCTGAGCTACAGGATGTCAAACTATTGGTTGCTAGGCAATCTAGAGAATTTGGTTGTTATTATGAGGCAGCAAAGTGGGAGTGAGGATTGAAACATTTCAAAATGGATCCCCCTTTAAGCGGAAACCATTTATCTCTTCAACAACAGAGGCAGACAAAACATTTTAAGATGCATCCCCCCCCACCCTCCCTTTTCTTTCAAAAGAGGTTCAGGCCAGGCTTTTTTGTATTTATAAGCTGCAGGGTTATGTGTTTATTCTGTCCGTAGGCATATATCTACCACTAAGGCTGCTGCAATGAATTTGCCTTGTCATTGTACCTGCTGTACAGACAATGTATTGTAATGGAGATTTTAATCTTCTCTGCAGTCCTGATGATAATGGTAGTCTCAAAGGCAGTTTTAAACATATTATTATTATTCCTGGTAGGGCCATAAATAGTAAAAAACACTGAAAACAAGGAGCCAACAAACACAAAATAACTGGTAAAAATCTTGACTCAGTTACCCATTTCGTTGGGCGGGGGGGGACAAAGTGACAGATGAGCCTGGAACACAACAGAGCTATCAACAGACTACTTTAGCAGACTCCCCCTTGACTTCAAAACCCTTTGGTGAACCATCATTTAAAAAAATTCTCTTTTTTCATATTTGTGTAAATTATCTCCCCTTCTAGATTAAAAAAAAATGCCTGTAAACATCTGTGATGTTGTATTTTGCATCTCGGTGAACTCCTGAAGTGACAACTTTGCATGCATGTTAAGTTTTTGCAATTTCTCCTGAGAATTCAGAATAGCAAGTCAAGTTTCCCCTGAGGTTTGTTATACACCAATGGGCCTCAACTTCCCAGACACTTCATCCACTGCTGTCTGTTACACACATGAAGGACAAAATCATGTCACTTCAGTGCTGAAACATATGCATTTTTTGCTGGGATTTGTCAACCAAAAGACTGAAAGCGCAGGTTCAAAGTCAGCAATTTCCTGTAACAGAAACATTCGGAAATCTGGGTTAGTATAAAAGCAGTGAATAATCAAGGAAGATGCACAAAACAAGCTTATTCAGGTCTGGCTATGTTTTTGAACAGCTGGGGGAAATGGCTAAGAGGGAAACAAACTCAGAAAAATAACCATCCTGCAGTGAAAGGCTCAGGCAGACGTTTCAGAGGCTTCCTGCTGGGGCATGCTGGATGCCTGATGTGCATGTTTGGGATCCCTGTTAAATACAGAAACGTTCTGACTGACAGCTGATGGCTGGTGCATCAGGCTTTGTTTCCTTTAAAACACTGCCTATTAACTAAATCGACTAGACATGATATGACAGGATATGTCTTGGCTCCCAATTTCTATCACATTCAGAGATATCTAGTTGTTCTGGTATTGTCAGGCACTAAAGATGTTTGCATGAAGTTCATAGGTTCTATCCCAAGATCTCCCATTAACTAGCCAGCATGCCTGGCTTCACTACACTGAAGAAAGGTTTCTCTCTGAATTTCAGACATTCTCCTGTGCAGCTGGCAGGTATGCAGCATTTCTGGCAGTGTGCTAGGAAAAGATAGAGCTAAATTAAAAGAAAGATGTTTGCTAATTAGGGCCAGGGGTAGATTGAGTGAAAACAACTGAGTTAAGGGTCCACAGCACCTTGAAACTGATGCTCTGTATCATGCAGGATTGGGCCTTGAGAGAGACAATGGAAGAATCAGCAATCGATACAAAGTGAAAAAAAGAACACCTATTTAAAGCCAGTGCCATACACTATTGTTTTTCTCACCTCATGGTTCCACAACAAAGTTTTCAAGGCATTTTGCTGTATATTGTCAGTGGTGCAATTAATGCGAAGCAATGCAGGGACCAGGGAGTCCACTGGGGAGAAGGCAAGGGGAGTTCCAAACTGTAACACATACCACAGTACCACTGCTGGCCTTATAAAGAGGCTCTAGCCATCAGATCAGTAGGTTTCCCAGGAAACTTTGAACCTCTGTTTATATAAATCTGTGTTTTTGTATTTGCAAGTACTGGGACCAGGGGGATGATAGCATTCATTATGCTGACATGCATGTGGAACAAATATTATCCCAACCAGCTCTAACCTGCTGTGCAATAAAACTTGAGTGCCGCAGAGAAATGAGTCCATTTCACATAAACAGCAGCATCTGATCAAAACAAAAGCCAGCTCGACAACCACTTTATTGTCGAGTTTTTCCTTGGAACACAAACACAAGGTGTATTTCAGGGCTCCTAGCAAGGGACAAGAGATACTGAAATAGAGGGAGCCTGGGAGATACCACTTTCAATTTCAATTACCATTTCCAATTGTACCACTGACAGACTTGATTATCATAACCCTTTGTAAGCTGGTAATATGACTACCAGAGCCGCAAGTGATGGCAGGCTTATACAGTGCAGAGGGGATAGTAGAATGCATGCAAAATGCCTGTAGCCTGATTTTAAATACATATGACAAATATTTGCTGAAAGTTGGAAAGCCCTGTAACTGTTATTTTAAAGTTTTTGCTTGTGGGTATCTGTCTATAGCTCCAAGCAGATGTAGTTAAACACAATTTTTTCTTTGAAGAGATGGAATCCTAAATTCACCTGTAGTTCATAAAATTAAACTGGAGATAAGATGCTTGAAGAAGAGCTCCCAGTAGCATGCTTCTTGTAAGTTCTCATGTACAAAAGAGATGCCTGTCTGTGTTCCATATCGTTTTCATAATCTAATAATTAAAAGCAACTAAATAGGTCTCTTTTCCCAAAATATTAAAATTTAGACATAATTTTACATCTATACATGTTGAAGATACAAGGCAACTATATAGTCTTACAGCCCATTAAACAGTGAAACACAGATCTTTGGACAGATCTTCACAGGTCAAGTAGGCTCTGCTATGATGAAGATTAAAGCTCTGCTATATTGATATTGATCACAGCACAGGTGGAAGAAAAAGTACGTGTCAAGAAAGTCACAGTTCCATCCAAACCTAATGGCTAATGAGCTTAGTGGTTAAGGCACACAAGTCTGTGTAGCCAATAACACAGGAAAGAGCACCATGACTAACATCATCATCGTTTTGACTGCTCAGGCTGAAAGTACCCGTATAGAGTTGGGCTGACTAGAGAAAGCCTTCAGCATAAAGGCTGGACTGAGTGTTTGACCTAATGTCTTCCAAAGCCATAGCAGAACGCCTTAGAGCACTTGGCCTCTGCCTCAGCAACATTTAGATGAGATGCTTTAAAACAAAATCAAATTTATGGGGCCAAACTAAGAGTTGTACCAGTTGCTCAAAAATCAGTGGGTTTGATCCAGAGGCCACTGAAGTCATCAGGATCCTTCCCCAGGTGGGTTAGGGAGTAGAAGTTAAAATCCCAGGGCTGCACAGAGCTTTGTTCAAGTGACCCCTTTTACCTATGTCCCTTTCACTATAGATTAATGGGCAAAGTATAAGGCAAATCTTTTCTTAAGAAAAAAAAAAAAAGGAAGAGAAGTAAGAAAGATGCTTCCATTTTTTAAAAACGAACAAAGCAGCAAAAAACCCTATTCAAAGCCCATGGTCATTTCCCCCATTGCTTTATAAAAGGAATCAGATTTGCTAACATAATACCTACTTTTTTGAAAGCACAGCCTTTTACATTTATCTTGGAGAAATATTTAATAACATTAACTTAACCCACCAGCCCCTTCACATGCCTCTTTTTTTCCCCAATCACATCTGATAATTGTCAAAGGTAAATGTTCTGACAATTGCTTGCTTCTTTCGTATATCCATTCTCTCAGAGCTACAAACTTTGGGGGTGAAGTGGGGCCCAATTCTGCTTTAACTAACAATTTAGCATTCTAATACTGCCTCACCCAAATGCAGACTGGCAGCTCTGGCAATAGACAGGCATCCAGTTAAGGGTATAGGGTTACAGCCTGTGCGCTTTGGTGTGTAGCATCCCTGTCTCTGACCCCCAGCTTCCTTCCTTGGCTTGAGCATGCTCTAGGAATAAATGGAGGCCAAGCACTTCCAAGGTGCTGGTAAGTGAGGAACATATTTGTAGTCAATTCTTAAAGGAAGAGGTATGATGGAGAGTGTACAGGTGAATTTATGATCTTACATTGCCTAAACCACAGCAGATTAAAAAGTTAGAACTGCCATATTCTGACTTAACAGCAGAAACATTCAGAACTTGTATGTGGAAAAGTGTATCAAAAGGAAATATGTGAAATGGGTGCATGGGACAAGTTTGGTATAATAAATTGCTTCTTCTATATTTTAATTGCCTTAATTTGTCATACAAAAACATCCTGAAAAGTCACTGTGTATCTGGGTAT